CCTCATTCTGCGACAAGCCCCCCCTGCCTTGCGAACTTCGAGTGGTTTTGGCCCAATGTCCATTGCTTAGGCGGCAATCAAGAATGCGCCAACCTGGAGTTGGGGATCCCTCCGGTTTGGAAGGAACTCCGTACAAAGGGCTGCAGTTTGACTTGTGCCCGCGAACACCAGAATTGCAGGGCTGGCTCCGGGTTCACTGGCTGCCAGGACCAAAGGTCATGCCCCAGAAAGCTCATTGGGACTGGCTCGGCCAAGAGTGTTGTTTTACTGTGGGACACAGATTTCTTTGCTCACAGCTTCGACATGCCAAAAGCTGCCAAGGTGGGAGTTCTCCACCCCCCCGAATCGTTTCTTGTTTTTGTTTTTGTTTTTACCTCTTGGGGTGTCCATTTAAATCAACACCGAAAAGGGCACCCTGAAGAAACCGACCGGTTCCACCACGGATTCAGAGCCACCTGTTCCCGAGTCGGCAGCTTGTTGCCTTCGATGGTCCTCCATCCTTGTATTATCCTGGCGGATCACGGGGAGGGTTGCAACGGCTCGTGCGAGTTGGCTTTGAAGCGTCGCTTGGCCATTTGGGTACCATGTTTCTCTACCGCTATTGCACTTTTTGGATTCCCTGCATATTTCGTTTTAGCCAGCCAAAAGTTAAACCTCCGCTCGTAGTTCGCTTCTAGCCGGCTACGTAACGAACCATTGCGATGCGAGAAGCAAAAAGTTGAACACTTCTTGCTGGGGGATCTACAGCACTCAAGATTTCGAGCCCACAGCCTTGTGAGAGTAGAACATGTTTTAAGGTCGCCAGCTCCATCATTTTTAGCCTCCTGCTTCCGGTTGCTTTTGCCCCAAGAGGGGGTTCCAAGATTCAAACACACATGCTGTGGATGGACGAAATCCTGCCCCTAAGCAACCCTGGAATGATGACGACTTCGTCCATCATCCCCAGAAATGGATGGGCTTTCAAGTTGGAACACATGTGCAGCCGCGGGTTTTGGGAGGGTGGATGCGGGAAATATGTTGTGCCACTTTCTGTACCAAGGCAATGGCCCCGTAGTGAAAAAGCCAATGGTTTGACAGGACTCCACCACTTCACAGAAAGTCACCCTCCCAACATGAAGTCTAACGTGACGGGAAGGCCATATTTCTCCAAAAAGGACATTCTGAGTTCCATGTTCGTGGCCAGACGGAAATGGTTAAAGCCAGCGCAGGAAAGGCAAGGAGTGTGGGGATTCAGACCATGAAACATGCCAGGGCTTCCTCCAAACCACCCAGAAACAGGGTGATCCTTTTTGATTTGTGCCTCACTCCTGGTGCTGAATTGCGTCTTGTGGTTGGCAGGGATGGTCATGGATGCCTACCAAAGACAAGTCTGTTCTTTTTTGCGAGGTCGCACAGAAGAATCGGTCTCTTACTGACGTACCCAAGGGTTGGGACGAGTGAGGGAGATGTGTTGAAATCGGGTGTCCCGCCAGAAAACATGGCACCGGGCCTCAAAAAACATACGTTCTGCGTTGTGAATTTCGCTTTTGGGCCCAGGGCTGGGAAGATGTTAAAGGCGGACGCCTGTCACTGCCGTCTTAGAAGATCACTTTTTGGGCCCTCGAGTGAGATGCATGCCAAACGTCTGTTGGAACAGGTGAACGTCAGAATTTGTTAACATTTGGCCATGAAGTCTTAAAAGGAAACCACCTCCAAAGTGGGCAGACAGTTTCCACCTAAATGACGTCCACCATCCCTTAATCGAAACTCTCACCAATTTTTCAGTCCAATCAACACATGGGCCTTGTCAAAGGTATGGTTTTTGTTGTTGGTGCCACCGTTTAAAGGGGGATACCAACCACGGCCCCTCCGGATCCGTTTTCTCGTCCGAGAGGCTGGCCCGGCAAGCGGCCGAAGCGGAGCTTGCCCGGGCCGGAACCTGAGAGGGAGGGTATGTGTCAGGTTGGGTTTTGGTGCCGCCCAAATTGGGTATATATATATATAAACCAACCCCAAAACCAGTTTCTTTATTCTTTTTTAAATCAAACCCAATGTTTGTGCTCTTGTTCCCCGACAGCTTGGTTCAGATAGGCTCCCACAGTTTGGGTGTTCCCCCAAAGAACAGGGGAGGAGCCACACATATTGGAGGGAGGGCGGCAACATTCCGGTCCTTCGGGGATTCTTGAGACTCGGTGTCGTGGTTGAGCCTAGAAATTCAAAGACTGCCAGCCCCTCAGGAAATCGTGGCCTTTTGCGTTTATACGGCGACCACACCCATAGCATGGGCACCGCTCAAATCATCCGATCCGATTGCCGGGTCATTGTGCTTTAATCGCCTCCCCTTACTTCAACATGGCTTATTGCAACCCACAATTATGGGGGGAATTCTTTCCTTGGGTAGTTTGAGGGTCGAGGTACCCTCAAAACAGACGAGCCACCCACCTGCGCGGCCAGGCGTTGAAGTGGCCCGGGGGGAAGCTCCGCCGCTTGCCCCGATTCGTAGCTCGGCTCCGGCTTCGGATTCCTTCGCGACACGCTGCGGCCGCAAAGCGGACGAGCAGCGGACGGAACCCGCGGCGTTTGTATTATTGGCCTTTTGACGGCGCGGGGGTGCGTCAACCAGGGCTTTCCTCCAGGTTTTACATGATGGTTTCTTCTGGATGTAAGTGTTAACATAGGGGAACTACCACCGTGTTGTTTTCTTCGTGGCTTCCCTTGAAGCCAACCAAAAAACGGCAGCGTCGAAACACACAAGGCGTTTTATGAAGCGCATTGCAGTTTCAGAGGTTTCCAACCCAAGGGGTGGGCGGGAAATGCGGGCAACAAGTTGAGCTCGTTTGGGTTCAACGCGTCCTCCAGCACCACCTTTCAGCTTTCAGTGGGTGCTCAAAAGGGGTGAACTGGAGGTTCGCGCCGTCACTTTAACTGTGCTTGCAGCCCCCGCGCTGGAAGTTTTTCCGCTTCGGTTTCGGCCAACCCCCTCCCCCCCCCCCCGAAAGCGGGGGCGGGGCATTTCCCGGTGCTTCCAGGCCAGGCTTTACATCATGGTTTCTTCTGGAGACTTGCTATGAGGCTCCGCGCCAAATGAGCGGAACGTGTTTTCTTTTCGGTTTCGCTTTAAACCAAATTCGGTTGATTGAGCGGACCCTCATATAGCCGTTGATGAAATATGCGCCTCATATAGCCGTTGATTTTTTAAGGGCCCGATTCCATCGGCCTCGTTTGAGGCTTTGGGCCATTGGGGTTGGGCCTGCGGCTCTTTTTTTCTCCTTTGTTTGGCTGAAACAAAAAGAATTCTCGGGGCCCTCAAAATCATGTGTCTTCCTCAAGTGCTGTGTGGGATAGAGGTGTTTAAATGAAATGTAAAACACATTTCAGAGTGTGTTTCTTTTGTTTTTCCCCATGCAAATTGTTGCTCTTGACTCTCCATTTGTTTAAGTTCAGTGTTTTTTTGGAATTCTTTGGGGTGAAGTTTTTGGATTCCATGCTCTGTGTTTTGTTTTTCTCTTGGGGGGGGGAGGGGATGTCATGGTCATTGTTTAAGGGGGACGTTTATTACTTGTCTCGGGGGGCTGGCTGGTCCTTCGTTCGGAGGGATTTCTGAACCTACGTTGCCATGAACCGGAAGCTTTGGGCCCCGCTCAGCGGCGCACGCGTGAAAGAGGCTTTCGCTGCGTGGTTTTGTGCGCGCGCGCGTTGGGGAAGCGGATGGGTCAAAATAGGGGGATCCCAAGAATTGTGGTTTTCCCTTTGGATTCCCTTGAAGCCAAAGTGAAAAGGGTGCCCTCAGAAAAACACACACCCAGGTGGTTGTTGACATGGACTGTTAGAGATGTCCATCAAAGGGTCAATAATTCTAGGGGTACCCTTCCCCATTCCTTCCCAGGGATCCTTCATTTCAGGAAACCCTCAAAAACCCAGAAAAAAAAACGCCGTTTTTTTTTTTTTAGGTTGAAAAGAATGGCTGGAATCGACCCCTCTCCTAGAAGAATCAAAGTCCCTAGGGCCTTTGTGGAGGGACCCGACCAGCCACGACCTTGGCCTTTTGGCCAGGCTGATTGAGCGGTCGTTGGGTGGCTGGTAGGGTCCGTTCTCATGGCGCAGCAACCATTTTAAGGCGGAATAGCCTCAGAAATTCGGTTGGCGGAAATAAGTCCCAGGGTTTTGCTGGTGCTCACCAAAGGGTCCTCCTTTTGCGATTCAAAGCTATCCTGGTCCTGTGAACGAGTGCGGGAGAACTGCCTGAGAGCGCCAAGATGTCAAGGAAAGGTCTACACATCAGCATCTATGGAGGACCAAGGCCAAACAAGGCCAAGCAAGCCCAAATAAGGCCCTAGGCCTTGGGTTTGGAGGAACTGTCCGCACGAACCCTGGCCCTCCAAATGTAACGACCAGGAAGCTCACAAGTTCAGCCCAAACGTGATGTTTGATCCTAGCCCTCGGAAAGGACATTTAGGGGCCCCTGACTCTTAGGGATTTGACCCGGTGATCACGGCAGTGACCCTTGCTCTAAGAAGTGTTTGCTTCAGGGCCGCGGGGTTGGCCGAAGCAGAAGCAATCGAATCGACACGCGTCTGAGACAAAGCAAACGGCTTTGTGAGACAAAGCCAAGAAGGTTCATGGTTCCTGTGAGATTTTTTGATTAACGGTGTCAGACACACACATCAGCTGCCTTTTATCAGCGTTCTACTGCCTGTATTTGGGACTATAGAGAAGCTACTCACTGGCCAAATAAGGCGACGTAAAGTTGGAGCGGCATTAGAGAACCATCTCTCTCTCTCTCTCCCTCTCCCTCCCTCCCTCCCTCCCTCCCTCCCTCGCTCTCGCTCTTTCCTGCTTTCTTTCTTTCTTTCTTTCTTTCGTTCTTTCTTTCTTTCTTTCTTTCTTTCTTTCTTTCTTTCTTTCTTTATCCTTCTCTGTATATACAGATTTTGTATATATGTATATGTTTACATGAACCTTTACAACCATCTCAGAGCCACACGATCTCGGTTTTGTTTCGGGGCGCTCGAGTTCTCGAGGCCTTCGAGTTGGCGCAGATGGTGAAGGCGGAGGGCCACTCCGTATCCTTGATCTGCGGCACGCCACCACGCCCAGAGAGAGCGGGGAGCAGCGGCGCAGGGGTTTGGGGGGGTTTGGGGGGGGGGTGGTTGGTGTCCGTAGGCCTCTCGGGTAGGTGCGTCTTTTTAAGGATTCGGACCACCAAAATAGTGGTGTTCCTTCCTGGCTGCCATTGAAACCACCCCACAAAAAGTGTACCAGTTTCTTTTTGCTCGGCCTGCAGCAGTGGAGTGGGTGCCAGTTGTAAGGAACCAAACAACAGGCAAGATGGCGTCCTTTTGTTTTCCCTTGAAGCCAACCCAAACAGAGTATTCTCGAAAAGGCAGACACGCCAGTGCAGTTTGTGCCCACGCCGCGCTTTGCTCTCTTGAGCCTTGCTGAGTATCAAGTTACTCAAGGTGTCCGTTGGCCAGTGGTCCGCCACTTTTTACTCACCAGATGTGGCCTGCCCCTCTATCTAGGATTCAACCTCCTTTAACAGACTGGTTGACCCAAAACAGATGATGAACGTGCTTGAGTAAACAAAGGTGGCTACTTGCTGGTGGCAATGATCCTTATCAACCCTCCAACTGGTGTTTTCCTTTCAGGAATCCCTGGGTTCATTCCCTCCTGACGACTCCCCACGGAGAATGAGGCAATGACCCGCATAAATCATCCCTCGTAGTTTCCTTGAAGGGAACCCCTGGGTCATTCCCACCTTCCCCACTGAGCACCAGCACCTGGGTTTTGCTGAGATCAACGGCTCAGGCAGGGCTCCTATGGTGAGGAGAAGATGGACCCGGCCATGCCGCAAGCCCAGTTTGGCGAACGCGAGCGGCAGGAAAACGTCCGCGGGTTTGGCGGTTCTGGCGAGGTGTGGCGGTGTTTTTGGCAGTTGTTTTGCCGTTGTGGTGGATTTTGTGTTTTTTTGTGGCCCTGTGGGCAAGTGAGATTCTGGTTCTTGCAAGGGGAAATTGGACACCGCCAAGCGAATCCATCCAACGGGGGGAATTTCGAAAAGGGTGTTGGTTTCAAAGGGGCAACCAAAGAGCGACCCACTCAGTTTGCGTGGTTTCTCCGAGAATTGAGCGCGCTCTGAGGCGGGACCAGGTGATGTCGGAATTCCGGGAGGGCGTGACCAAGGCTAGCTCAGTTCTTGTCCAAGTGGGGGGTGTCTTTTTTGAGGGTACCCTGCTTGGAGGCGATCCGGAGGTCGCTCCCAATTTCGTGATTCGGGATTTAATCACGTACTCGGATTCGAATCACATTATGAGGCTTCAGGATTTGGGGATTCGGGATTCAGGATTGGGATTCGGGACTGGGAAGGCCCCAGCCTCTGGTCAATTCGAAATTCGGGATTCGGAGTCGAATCACATTCTCCACCACCTTCTCACCTCCAGATCACGTCTCCCTTGGGGTGAGTGAGCATGGACCCTAAGGGGGACTATGGGGGGGGGGGCTATCCCTTGTGAGCCTTTGCCAAGGGCTTGCTTGTCCTTGGCTTATCCAGGGATAGCCCCGATGCCTAGGGGGTTCCCCAGCTGAAAGACACAAGAAACGGGAATCCAACCAGAAAGGAGCAGGGTCGTGTGCGTCCTTCGGGCACGTAGCAACCAGACTGACAAAAGCTCAAGGGAGCAGAACAAAGGTTTCTAATCACTGGCCAGTCATGTTTCACCCGGACACTTGCTTGAGACTAACGTCAAGCCTGACGTGGGTAGAGAATAAGCAACCCAAAAGTGTTCGTATCAACAACATGCGGGTCCCCCCTTTGAGAATTCACACTCACTTTTCCGCTTTCAGGACTTGACCACTTGTTGATAAGATCGTTTTCGTCCGCCAAAAGTCCAAGGGGCATTTTTTCAGACCACAGGGTTTCAACTCCCTTTCCCTTTGTGGAACCAGGTCCCCCCGAAAAGTGGGCAAACCGATGCATTGCATCTTAAAATAGGGGGCCCGCTTCGTTTCCATTTGGTTTCCCTTGGACGCCAACCAGCCAAAAGGGCTGCCCGCAAAAACACAAACAAACAAACAGCAAAGACACACAAAACACACACAAACAAGACAAAACATAAGCCTACCAGCGGGCACATGGTTGCGCTTCAATACATTCCAACCAGCAAAACGGGGCCAACAAAAACATGGATCCACGTTTTGATGCGCGGAGCCGGCGGAATTTTGCCGCAGGTCCTCATCGCCACGGACGTGCTCTCCCGAGGCATCGACGTGCCCCAGGCCCGGTCTCGGAAGTTTCCCCTCTCGTCGCGTCGGGAGCGCGTCGCGTCGAGAGCTCGGCGCGGAGAAGTACCTGGGTGCTTAAAGGGGCATTGTACGTCAGGCAAGTGGTGAGGAAGCCTGGCTACGCACAAAAGCCATAGGTATATAGTCTCCGTTCTGTTATAACCTGGCTTCCTAGCCACTTACCTGACGTACCCGATCTCCCCTTCAAGTGCCCATGGTTGGGGCTGGCCCCTTCCAAACGCGGTTTTCCTCGAATTCCTGTAACCAACCGCTGCGTTCAGATTTTCCACATGGTTTGGGGGGATCAAAAATATGGCCCCGTCAAAGGCACCCTGGTGCCGCAGGCGCCTGGAGTACCAAGGCTCCCTGAATCTCCCCTTTTTTTCCGGGGCCGAATGGAAACCAGTGCATCGTGTCTGTGTGTGTGTGTGTGTGTGTGTTTTTTTTAGGGGGGAAATCCATGAGCCAGTGATCCCCCTGGCAGACCTTATTTTTGTTTGGGGGGGGGGGAAGCGGGGACGCCAGTGGCCCCGAACCGAACACGGCACACCGAGCTCGGGGCGGCCCCGAGGTGACCCTGGTGGTGAACTACGAGCTGCCCATGAGCTTTGAGAACTGGCGCTCCGTGAATATGGCGCGGGAATTTGCGTGCGGAAGGGGGCGGACGGCAGCGGCGCGCCTCAAGCCCCTGTCAGACTCTCCCCCCCAACTTTTTTTAAGAGAGCGGCGCTTCTGCTCTGGTATTGATGATAGTAGTTCGATTTTGCGGGGATTTCTGGAAGCTTCACTGTTCTGGTAACGTTGCGTTTCCTCACTTGTTCGCGACTTCTTCGTTTTTGGTTATCATGATATCGAATAAACATTGGAATATATTGAGTCCTGGTTGTAACCGGGAACCTCCTGCCTACAATCCTCACGCCAGCTGGTTTGACCATGTACTGTAGGGTTTTGCGCCAGCTGCGCCAAGCCTTTGGTGGGAGGCCACTATGGCACGACCTTTCCCGCGGAACTTGAGGCAATACGTGTGACAGGGCTACAGCACATCCTGCGCCGATAGGCAACAGCCATCTCGTTCAGTAAAACCGAGCCAAAACTGGACTATAAGCCGGCAGCATCTTGGGTTTCGATCCACCCTATCTTTTCCGCACCCATGGGATTCGGAGCCAAAGCTACAGTAAGGCCTCTGAACCGATGTGTACCTAGAGTCTCTATGACCCTTTAAAAATGGTTGGTCATTACCCAAAATAAAGAAACGGGTCATGGACCCATTTTTGATTCGGGTCAGAAGGAGACTCCAGGTCGGCAGCTCAAAGTTGGGTGAAGCTCCGCTCCTCTGTCGCGCTAGGAGACCTACCTTCACCGCGTGGGCCGGACCGGGCGGTCCGGGACTCGCGGGACTCGCGCGACTCGCGGTTGAAAGTTTCAAGTAAAAAGACCGGGTCCCAGCGCACTTGCAAAACGAATTGATGGGATCTGACCGTTGAGTTCCCCCTTGTTTCAAAATTGAGTCATGGCCCCAAAGGCGAACCTTGTATTTCTGGTCCTCTTTGCAGTCATGAGTCATCTCACAAAGGGGAGCGGTTGCGAGTTCGGCAAGGGGAGAACCCACGTCTTTTTTTCGGGGCGTTCGTCCCCCTTCTGTTTTTCCACAACAGCGGTGTGTATATATATATACATATACACACATTTTTGTGTTTGTGCGTTTGTGTTTGACTGACTGTTTCTGTGTTTGTTTGCTTGCTTGTTTGCTTGTTTGTTTGTTTGTTTGTTTGTTTGTTTGGTTGGTTGTTTGTTTGCTTGCAAGCTAGCTAGCTAGCTTGTCTTTTGCGTTGATTATTTTGTCTTTTTGTCAGTTTGTTTTGTTTTGCTTTGTTTGTCTGACCGTGTCTTCTGAAAGAGGGGTGTACACATATATTCCTGTGCAAGGCACAGTCTTTCCCCCTAACAGTTGGGCCCTGGCCTGGAGGTTCGGTCTGAAGGGCATCGCGGTGAACCTGGTCTCGCCAGACGAGCGGCCGAGAATCGACGAGGCGAGTGCGGGGGTCGGTGGATTCGGACGGCGGGGTCAGCCTCCCCTTCTGTGAATACCCCCCGCTTTGTGGGTGGTTTTGAAAGGAAAAACCGTCGGACCGTTTTGGGGGATCCCGCCACTCCAAACAACCATCTAAGAGTTCCCTGCTAAAAAGAAGAAGAAGAAAGCAAACAAAACAAATGTGGTTAACTCAAATGGCTTGGCGCTTGCAACACATCGAGCGCCTTGAATAGGCACGGGCGAGCGCATGTCTCCCGAAACGCGCACACGAAGAAATAATTACTCTCTTGTAGCTTAACATGGAACCCAACCAAGCCATCTTGTTGCTTGGGTTCGAAAGAGAACACCCAAAACCAACTTGTTTGTATGTTTCTGGAGGTCCTCCCAGTTTGTTCTTCCCCCTTTTGGGTTTCACCAACCAGAAGTTTCTTGAGCCGCGCGATTCGCCGAAACGTCTACTTCGGGCCCTTGCCAAGCTCGATGTGAGATCTGCGAGTTCTACTCCTGCAAGATCGCGGAGCTGACGCAGAGTTTTGAAGAGCTCGAGGCGTGGCGCACGCTGGGGGGGGGGGGCGTGGGGTGGGGTGAGGTGGGGGGTGAGGTGGGGGGTGGCCATGCAGAAACCCAGCGAGACTAGACCCTAAAGAAGGTGATAGGTGCTTGCAAAATAGACGAAGTGTTCAACCCGTGGGGGCGGGAGGCTTGGAAAGTTGTGTTTTGTCTGGTTGTCGAGGGCCCCAATAGCAACTTCCTGTTTTCCCATCGGAAAAGACTCCGGGACTGGAAAAGGGGGAAAGCTGTGCCAGGCAGCAGACGGAAGCCCCGAAACTTGTTGGAGGATCTTGTATGGCTTGTGCAGGATTTGTTTTGTTTCTTGTTGGACTTGTGATGATTTGGATTTGTTTCTTGGATTTGTGTTGAGGGTTTTAAGTTGTGACATTGTTGATTGGAAACCAAATTGAAACCTCCTCAGGTTTTGTAAACACCCCAAGGCAGAGATATCAAACAAAGACACCCACGAATGAGTTTCGGTGCTTCCATTCAAACCTCTTGAGCAGCTCACAGCCAAATGCATGTCAGGGTTCCATGTTTGGGAGGCGAAATCCCAGTTGGTGTAGCTTCAGGTACACCGAAAAAGTTTCCCGGGCAGCGTTCGGACCCTGGAACCCCTGAAGTTGGTGTTTTGTTTTGGCTTCCCAAAGCGACCTCGAAACCGGGGGTTCCCTCGAAAATCACAACCAATACAGTCCCAAAACGGGGAAACAAAACCATTCAAGCCTTCCTAAATCCAAAATTTCTTTCCGGGTGGGGTGTGGGGAGGGGGGGTTTTTTCCCTAGCCACACAAGCAGCACGCGTCTCAGCTGCATGTCTGGTGGTTGGCTACTTTTGGGCCCGGGAAAGGAATGTGCCCAAACAAAAAGCCGTAAGACAGCCACTGAAAAGGATGCAACAGCATACGTGGTACCCCTGTGCAAAAAAGGTGAGAAGGTATGGTGATCAGGTCCAAAAGTGCTTTTTTTTCATGATGAAGTCTGAGAAGCTGGAAACTCTTGCTGGGGGTCGACTCGAGGTCCCAAGAGGCCCGGCCAGAGAAACGTGCGCGATCGGCCAGGAGACCTTGAAGACTTTGCGGTGAGCGCAAAACTCGAAAGCTTTCGAAGGTCCAAAGAGCCTCGAACTTTAGGTCGGAAAAGATGGCGCTGCGATCCGCGGCGAGTCCGGAAAATCTGGGAAGAGGCGCCAGTTGGCGCTTTTCCCGTTAATTGTCGGCGCTGGGGAAGAGTCGTGCGCCAGGGTTCGATTTAGAGGAGGAGGCAATTGATGGAACACATTTTGATCAGCCCTGGCATTCATGTGCAATCCCCAGTGTCCGCTCTTAGGGCGTTCCTAGAGGTGCTCGGCTTCAATGGAACTCCGCAAAAAGAGGGCGGGTGCCGCGCTTTGCCTTCCGGGTTTCCAGTGTGTGGTTCGTTCAGCATGTCCAGTAGTCAGAGGGACGCGTGGGGAGCTTGCTAAATTCCCTCCCCCCAAAAGAAAAGCAGCAACAGGGGACTCGCTAATTTTCCCATGTCCTGTTGGGGAAAGAAGTCATGTCGACCGTGGCATGAATGTGAATTGCAGACCCATTGGTCGACCAAAAGTCTTCTTTACACTGAGGCTTGCGTCCTTCGCCGACCATTTGTCAGACGTTTTTTTTTCATTGAAACTCCCGCCTTTCGTCCTTCTTCCTGCTTGAAAGATCCACCTTGTGTTGGGGGGGGGGAAGGGGCCAATGGAAAGCGATGTGTGTTCTCCTTTCGGTGGGGGTGAGGTCAAAAGGCAGAGCTCTGCTCTGGAGCCGGACTTCGGTACTTCGCGGGTCCGATTCTTGCGAGCTGCGAGCTTCGGCGTCTTTCCGCTCTCTTGCTCTGCTCATGTCTTCCTCTGCTCGGAAAGCTTGACGGTGAAAAGTCCTCCCCGAAACCCATATTCCGTCCTTGAGACGCGCGCAAAGTCCGCAAGGTCTCTCTCAGGCAAAGGGGCATCCAACGCTACGTTTCTGGGTTGCTCGCTCTTCCTCCAAAGGAGCGAAAGGTCCTTAGACCCTTCGTAGGTTCAACGGAAAACTCAAAACTTGGGCCAAGGTCAGACCAAACAGCAGCCAAGATTCAAAAAAAAAGCCCGCAGCTGGGGACAAGCTGCTCCATTGCGCGCCAAACGAAAAATCGGCCAAACCACTGCCGGACGCTGGACATCAGCCCCTAGGATTCCACGAACCGAAACGTGGACTCCCCGGCCAAATTCCCGAAACGGCCTTCCATGGCGGCCAGCGGCTTGGCGGCTCCCACGCAGGAGCGGGCTGCGAAAACTTGCAGGGGCGCTGGTTGGACATGTTTGACGCGCCTGGGACGCCCTCGCTGTTGAGGCATTCCTTTATTCTCCGTTCCGGCAACAAGTCGTTTGGCCATTGGGAATGCCTTGTCCTTTGTTCCTGGCGGGCCTGGTCAATGACGGGCGGGTTTCTGAATTTAAGGCCGACAGGAAGTTTCCGCTTTGCGGATGTGGCGGTTCGATGCTTGAGGATACCGGGGAAACTTTTCCTGATCGAGGTGTCGGAGGCATCGCCGGTGCGGTAGATTCGATTGAACCACACCACGTGGGACCACAGATGCGGGAGGCTCCCTGCCCCCGGACTTTGAGATGTTTGGAGTTTAGCGGGAACTTATGACATATCCCGCTACAAGCTCGACGCTCAACGCAACACTAAGATAATTCTGGTCCATGGCGTCAAGTTGGGTCCATGTTTATATTTGAAGGTACCCTCTTCGCGGGTGCTTCAAAGGGAAGCCAAAAGGAAACCACCCATTTTGGTTGTTCACCCTATCTTGAGAAATCGTGATCTACAGGTTTCCCCCTGCAATATAGAGAGCATCGCAGCCGCCATGTCGGTCTCGTGTTGGATTCCTTTCCCCACCAACGAAAAGCGGCTCCATCTTGGGCCAGATTCTTCCCAGCGGTGCCACTTGCCTTTATTGGCCAGCCTTTAAGATCTAATTACCCTCCCACCAACACGGAAGTGCGCGTTTGGCCCCTTTCCCAGAGTCGGCGGGAGGGTAAATGGTTGAAGGGGGTCCATTCCCAACAGGAGTCCCTTTGTGTCCATGTCAATCTGCGGAGCATTTGAAGCTTGGTTGGCTACACGCGGAGCAGAAAATGCTTGAAATTGCCAGTGGCGAATCGATCCACTGAACGAATCGCTGGGAGTCCCAGGAGGAGAATGAGCAGCTCGCACGGACCTTCGAGCGGTCTGGCGCCGAGTGGAGACTCCAGGTTTGACCCCCCTTCATGTTGGGTTGGAGACGAGAGGGAGCGAGCTCCAAGTGTCAGCCACAAACCAGGAGACACGGCGACGCGCTCTAATTTTCCCATTTGCAGGAGTTTCAGCTGAGAAGGGCAATATTGGCAAGACTTGAGACTTGCCGTGCCAGGAATTCAAATTGGAGAAGCCTTCGTCATTTTCTCCGAAAACGGTCTTCCCATCCGACTGTCATGATTTTGGTTCCGTTTCTGTTCTCAAAGCCAGCAACTGGTTTTCCATTTCACGTTTCACTCACGGCTGGGGTGACTTGGATACGAAATTTGATGATGAACTCACCGGGGGGGGGGGGGGCGGTTGAACCCGCGTCGCAAGAGGCGCGCAAGAGGCGCGCGCTTGCCCGCCCCCTGGCCTCATTATTTTACCATTATCAAAGTCACCCCCGAAATGGTGGGTAAAAAAGGCCCCGAGCCCCGCCCGCCAGAAGAATGACCCCAGGTCCCGTCCGGCGGCTTTGAGGTCCTGCGGCCCGGACGGCTTCGTGGACGCCGCGGAGGCCCAGCGGCTGCTGCGGCGCACCGGGCTGCAGGAGACGCGGGCGGTAGCGACGGAAAGGGAGCGACGAGGTGTCTGAGGGAGGCCAGGGCTGGATTTGTTGAGTGGGACTGAACTGACTGGGCCTCCAGCTCCTGCTTGGAGACCCTCAGATTTGCATGGACATTCTAGGGGTACCTATTCTTTTCAGGGATCCGAATCTTTTCAGGAAGCCATCAAAAACCCAGGGAACCAGCCGGTGTTTGAAAATAACGATGGTTGAAAAGAATGGGGAATCAACCCCTAGATACAAGGTAGACTTCAACCCAGATGTTCCCCGTTTTGGGAGACCCAGGGTTCCACATTTGACTACCCCAAGGTAGACTTCAACCCAAAAGTTCCCCTGAAACAAATTCGCCCAACTGCTGGGTTTAGATCTAGCTTGGACACCTTGGGGTCGTCGAATGACACCCTGGGTGGATCCGGTCAGGGGATGAGGCTCGAAACGGGCTGGAGAAGCTGCTTGGGGGGTTGGCGGTTGCCCGGTGGGCTGGGCTGTTCGATACATAGTCCTTGGAAGGGAGCGACATCCAGGGATTCAAGCGCGCCCTCGTAGGGACGAGTTCGGAGCTGCCGGTTCTGTAAGGACATGATCGCACAGTTTGAATCCGGGCCGTTGAAACGCTCCGCGACATCCTTCCCTTCTGGTTACGTAAGGATTCGGTGCGTACTGCTTTCTTTCGGGGGATCAAGGATTGGGATTGACCCACCCTCCATTCTGAACAGCCCAGTGAAATGACCTTTAACGGGAAACAAAAGGGGGAGTGATTTGTTTTTCGTCCATACGCCCACCGTATTTAGCACTTCATGGGAATTGTGTAAACCCTCCTTGGGAGGGGTTGGTTTACTTCACATTTAGGAGGCTACTATTAGTATGCCGTGCCCCATGAGGTGTCTACTGTTTTCTTTTCTTTGTTGAACCATATCCTTTTCGCCTTGTTGAAGGGGAAACCATGGGGATCCACGTCAACAATTGACCATATCATTGGGAATCTACCACTGATTTGGGGATGACCTGCGGGCTCAACGAGGACTTTTTCCCCACACGTCAGAGGTTACACAACCACCGGGCTCCACAGCAGCCGTTCTTGGAAGCTGGAAGGGAAGAGCTCCCGGCAATTGCATCAGGAGCACCAGCTGTCCGCCATTTGGGACCTCTCCGATTTGGACCGGGACCGGCGCCTGTCGCCGGCCCGGCGATTTCGAGGATGCAACTGGCTGTCCGTTGTCAGGGAATTGGGTGTGGGGTTGGGCGGGCTTGATGTGGAGACTTAAGGTGTGTGGGAGGAGTTGGGGTGGATGGGGTGGTTGCCCTTTTGAGCCAAAATCGGTGGATACCCTTTTTACACTAACCCCAAAAGGGTTGGTGGGGCTGGCAGCGAACGCTTTAGTGTTTCGGACAACCATTGTATGTTTGGTTGCTCAGGGCACCATGGCTGCCAGGGCGTTTTGACCACGGACATGGGTTCCAGCAATCCGGTTCGGATCGCTTGCACGGCCCGGAAGGTTCAAAACTATGGCCCGTGTCCGTCTTCTTCTTTTTGTTTGCGGCAGGGGGGTTCCCTTTCCGGGGCTCCTTAAAAGGCACAAACATTTTGCCACCGGTTGACACATGGCCGGCTTTTTCCACAGCAACATAAAAAGTTGGAAGCCGCCTATTTACCAGTTGCAATGTGGTGTATTCGCTGCATCCGGATCCAACTGCGTTCGTATCAACTGCCCCAATGGCTCCCTCTTCGGTGTTTGGGTTGAGCTCGGGGACACCACGAGGATCACTTGCTGGCGCTGTGTAGGGAACGAGACATGGAATGACCCCCAAGAGAAACCATTTGTCTTGGGTAACCACCAGAACAATGGTTGGGTTCAGAAAAAGCCATCCTTATTTTTACCTAATTGTCATCATCTAAATTGGGTCAACCTATGGGGGTTGAACCCATTTGAACATCCAGGTGCTGGTTGCCTTTCTGGCTCATTCCCTACTGAATAGAACGACTCGTTTCTTCTTTTGAGGGGGGCAGGCGGAGACCATACCCATTTCGGGAGCTACCCATGCATGCTGTCTCGTTTTCGACAAGTTCTGGGCAGCACCTTTCGGGTACGAAAGGCAGAAGGCGCCCGTTTTTCGAGTCCGGAGGCTCGGCTAGCACTCTCGATTTTGACACACCCAGTGAAACCAAACTTATATGGTTTTAGTCACCCGGAGCTTTGGGGGTTTCATTGGTTTTGGTTTCATTGGGTGACTACCCTATGTCCAATGAGAACCCAGTGACTCAGGAGATCACCTGGAGTTTTGGGGTTTGGGAAGGAACCCCGGGGCCGGAACAGGGGGTTGGGATGAACACGGGGATCCCGAAGCCAAATTGACATGGTTCAGTTTGGGTCATGCCCTCGACCCTGAGCACCAGGAAGAAAATTGGGTTGAAGTGAGCCGATTTCGCTTCAGAGTACTAATCCTCGTTTGGGTATATGTTGACAGGCCCGACTTTTCCAAGGCCCGACCTGTCCAGTCAGACGGATCGACGTGCCTTCCCAGTCGTGCTTTTCATACGGACCCTCCAGAATGTTTGGACATGAGGCCATGCAAATGGTCCCCCTCAAAAACATAACCGATCATCGTCTTTGGAGTAGAGGGTGGGTTCCCTTTCGACAGATAGACATTTTTGGGGCCCAAGAAAGCACAGGGGCAATCACCCTGTGATTGACCCCCCAGCCAGACAGAGAGCATCAAGGTGGTTTCCCTTTGAACCTCATGGCAACACCCCCCCTCCCCTCCGGAAAAAGAGGCGGGTGTTTCCGGGGCACACGGGCCCACCTTGGGCCCAAACCACCCGCCGGCGCTTCGTCGGTTTTCGTCCCGAGCGCTTGGCCAGACTGCGGGAGTTCGCCTGCGCCATGACGCTGGCGGAGCAGGCGAGAAATTCGCCGCGGCGTCGGCGGAACATCGGAGAGTCGCCCCCGGGATCTGTGGATGGCCAGCGTACTCCAGCAAAAAGGCGCCAGGGTCAATAGAAGCTTGGTCGAGGCCATTGTTTTTGGTGTTTTCAGGGGAATAGTACTTCAAGGGTTTCGGGCGGTAGTTTCCTGCTGTTTCCTGTTGATGTCCCTGAACGTTGGGAACCCCGAATTCCCGAATGTTGCAAGCAGGGTAAATGCGGAACTCTGCACAATACTAGAATTGATGTTGTCGGTTCCATTGCTTTTGGGGAATCCACCGCGGGGCCTCAATTGGAGTTAGGGTTGTGGGGCAGTTGAAAACCAAGCTTAAAGTTCATGATCACACGCGCAAGCAAAGTCTTTGGCCCCTTAGTTGATCAAAGAACGTCAGGGTCGAAAGCAAGTTTTTGCATTGGCATCGGGTCCTGTAGTTCCCATCGCCAGCCACCCGAATTGTTTGGCCTGCTGGGATCTGTGGAGCAAACCTCTTGAATTTGCACAGGACTTGTTTCGATACCACCTGAGAAAGTGTTGGTTTTTGACGCACCGCTTGTTGGGCCAAGTTGAGAAGGGGTTCCCTCTACGTGGGGTGATGTTCGAGGCTTGAGGGGGGGGACATGCGAGGCATCTGCTGTTTGTAAGGGACTTTCGTGGCTCTTGCCTTGTCGGCAATTTGGGTATGTGGGCGATTGTCCTGTGTTTGGAAGCCCGCGATTTTCGGAGGATGTCCTCCAAGTGTTAAACTGACTTGGAGCTTCTCGCAATTTGGGTCGTTTCGTTGCACGTTTTTGTTTTCCGGGAGTCGTTGTTTGTTGTCCAATAGCCCAGTGGCACCACCAGCGGCTTTTTGCGGCTCAGAGCTGACAGTCACAGCCGAAGATGCGGTTGCAGCGGCTTTCGCAGCTGCGGCGGGGCTTCGGCCCTGTGCTTCTGCCCGTGCGCCTGTGGCGCGCCGAGGACTTCGTATCATGGAAAGTGGCCCACAGCAGCTCCAAGTGGAAGCCTTTCTTGGCTCTCGGCATGGGTGCCCTGGCTTTGGGGCCCACGCCTGCAAACTGCGAAATCAATCGGACTTGCGCCGAGCGAGCAAGGGCCAAGGTGAAAGCGCGGCTGGAATCTAAGGGCCCGGTCCGCGCAGATGTGAAGGTGGATTGCGGCGATCTGGGCCCTCGTGAGGTGGACTTCGTCGACGCCAAGGGCGGATTTCATGAAGTGAAGACTGGGCGAGTGGCGTACAACAAACAAACGAAGAAGCAGATTGAAAAGGACGCCCAGACTCTCAGAAACAATCCAGCATGCAAAGGCTTTGCATGGCACCTCCATCCCGGAAACCAAGGACAGCCGGACAGGCGCGTGACACGGGATCTCAGGAACGCGGGCATTCATCCAGTCTGGGCTGAAATTGCCGATCAGCTTTTATATGCCGAGCAGGCTTTGAGGAACGTCGAGCAGGCTGCCACGATTATCAAGGACTTCTTGTGGGTGCTGCCCTTGCTGCCCTTTCTTGTCTTGCTTTGTCTGTTTTTGGCATTCCCTGTCTCCCCCTTGCTTGACTCGGCGAGGCAGGTGAAGCACGAGCGCACGCCGCTGACATACATGACAAACAAACAAGTCGAGGAGGAGGAGGAAGACGATGGTTACGATGAGACATCCGCAAACGATGATGACTACGATGATTACGCAGACGATGATGCCTGAAAGCGATGACGTTGATGGCGAAGAGTCACTTCACCACGGGTTTTCGGGAGCTTCCGGAGCTTCCCGGCCAGGCACAGGCCGAGGCGCCCGGTAGGTCTCTCGCGGTTTTTTGAATGAGCAAGGGTCGGATCTTCCGCGATGGACTTAAAGCGGCGGGCGAGCGAGGATGCTGCTCCATACTGTGGATGCTTTCGATCGAAATCCAGAAATCGATTTCAGCACCGAACTCAGAAACCCAACGGAATGATTCGATTCCCGAAGGTAGATTCCAACTAGCATTCTGTTCCCGACCATTGGAGCATTCTTCCAGGGTTTCGGGCGGTGGTTTCCTGCTGTTTCCTGTTGATGTCCCTGAACGTTGGGAACCCCTATTCCCGAATGTTGCAAGCAGGGAAAATGCGGAACTCTGCACATACTAGAATTGATGTTGTCGGTTCCAAATATTTAGGGAATCCACCGCGGCCTAAATTGGAGTTAGGGTTGTGGGGCAGTTGAAAACCAAGCTTAAAGTTCATGATCACGCGCGCAAGCAAAGTCTTTGGCCCCGTAGTTGATCAAAGAACGTTAGGGTCGAAAACAAGTTTTTCGCATTGGCATCGGGTCCTGTAGAAACATCGCCAGCCCGAATTGCTTGGCCTGCCGGGATCTGTGGAGCAAACCTCCAGGGCTTGTTTCGATACCACCTGAGACAGTGTTGGTTTTCGACGCACCGCTTGGGGGGGGACATGCGAGGAATCTGCTGTTGCATCATATCTTGTTACTTTCCATGTGAGGGACTTTCGCGGCTCTTGCCTTGTCGGCAATTTGGGTATGTGGGCGATTGTCCTGTGTTTGGAAGCCCGCGATTTTCGGAGGATGTCCTCCAAGTGTTTAATTGACTTTGAGCTTTTGGCAATTTGGGTCGTTTCGCTGCACGTCCATCCACAGTATTAAAGGGAGGTGCCTCTCTAGTTCGCACGGTTCTCCGCATTCCTTCGAAATTCGAATTCTCCAACACGGTGGTGACTGTCTGGCATTTTCCCGCCACATCTCCAACCCCAGGCTTGTTTTGAAATTCTTTGCAAAAACTTTTGGAAAGCATTTGCAAGAAAACAGGATCATGCTTCTGGAAACTTGGCTTTGGGGCCAGTTTCTATGATACCAAGGGAATCGTCTTGAAAGTAAAGTAGTCAAAGGGTCGTTGTCCACAACCATGAGCAGGATAGAACGAACCCTTCTTGGAAGGTTTCACTCGGACCAAGGCTCTCCGATGGTGTTTTTCTTGCATATTGGCGTGTTGTTTTTGAGGTACCCTTTTTGGACGGTTTTAAACGGAGACTGAGACCAAAAGGACACCAATCAGTTTGGGGGGTTGCACTACTTTGAGACAACTTCATAATATGAAATTTGGCTCACATTTTCCTGTAGTCTATGGTCCATTTGGCAGAGACATAGGCTTGGTCATGCGAACCAGGGCACGCACGCAATTTCTCATTGCCTCTTCCCCGCGAGAACAGGTCATCTTGATCGTGGCTCATATAACGGGAAGCCAGGACTTTATGTTCCATGCTGGACTTGTAGCCCAAATGACCCACTGCGCTTGGTGTTATTTGCCCCTTCCTATGCCACTAAAGGCTTGGATGCGGCGCTTTGATTTTGGGCGTGCGTTTCGCGGCTTCCTCTTGAAACCCTCCCTTGGTGTTTTAAGTACTCCTTAAAGAACCCTGGGCCACTGGTTGTTGCATAGGGGGTTCGGGCCACTTTTGGAGGTCCCAGTCTCAGATCTGGGGTCAGCGTGGCCGCCCCCGGATCCAACCCACAAGGCCACTCGAAGAGGCTGTTGGAAGATTGGGCATGCTTCAAGTCGATTCCTCAAAGCTTTCGTGGGGATTCAGACGACTTTTGGAGGGGTGTTCCCTCTGAAAATCCACCTGGAACCCGGAAAATGGTGGGATACAAGTCCCCTAAACCATGGTCACAACCAAAAAAATGCCCCCATAAGTCCCCTTTTCCACCCCTCGGTCCGTGAATCCTAGGCAAGCCCATATGGCAGATAACCCTTCGCTGTTTTCCTTTTGGTGTTTATCTGTGGCAGCGCTTGCCCTTCCCAAACCAGGTGGGCCAAATTTCGACTGTCTCCAAGATTGAAAGGCAAGACAAAGCAACAAAAAAAGCGAGAAAAAGAAGAAAACACAACAACTTTTACGGTTTCATCGTCTCCCCGAAGTGGCGCCGGATCGGTGGGCTCCAGCGAACGAAACGCCTGCGCCAGGCGCGGCACGGCCGGGTTCTGCCCGTGGAAGTGCGCCCGGAGCAGCAGGCGGCCATGGCCGCAGGCGGTTCGGGGCGGTTCGGGGCGGTTCGCGGCGTGCCGTAGACGCGCCTTGGGCGTAGCTTTAAAAGCTTCCATTTGCTTTTTTTTTTCTTCTCCTAAAGGGCATCTAGTACTAGTTTGTTTTCCCCCCCAGGAGACTTCAGCAGCTTCAGCAAATGGAAAAGGAGAAGGTGAGCGAAGACCGAAATCCAGTTGGGGGGGGGGGGTTGAGGGTAGGTACCATGTTTTTTGGTGGGCGGCTATAGTTAAAAAGAGAAGGAACGCTTAATCACATTTTGTTGGGGGGTGCCCTGTTTCAAGACGAGCCCATATGGGGTTTCTCAAAATATGGAGCGGTCCCGCATGAGACAAACACCCATGGCTTGGGGAATTTGTTGTGGACATGGTCCGTTTTTTTTTTTTTTAAATCCAGCCTGGGTTTGCGGGGGTTTGGAGGTCACATGCTGCACCACAGGATACATTGCCACAAGAGCTGAGAAGCTTCGTACCGCAAGCCATAGACTCCAATGAGAAACACAGAGTTTTGATCACATTGTTATGGGTGCGGTCTCCTCCAAAGGATTTTTTGTATTTCAGGGTAGGCCAACTATGATGCAGAATCTGAGTAGAGTCGTTTTTGAAGGGCCTCAACGTACTGTTTGTCGACACTTTGTCCAATCTGACGGAAAAAACAACAACACTTATTTAAAAAAGAGAAACCCAGACATACGCAAGTGGCATTCAACTTCTGGGCAGACAAGGGCAAGGTCTTGCTTTCTTTCATGTGTCCAACGTAGATGGGTGACTCCGACAAAGCAGCTTGCACGTGTTTCATTTGCCCATTCGCTCATCAGGCGCATCAGGCGTCAGTCGACTTGCATTGTCTGACCGGGGTATACCGTGTCCACGCAGGCATTCCCTCGCATAAGCGAGGCACAGATGCCAAACACACGGCGATTTGTTTCAAACCAACCACCTTCAGTTTGGCTCAAGCCGTACCAGTATGCCTTTGCATTTGAACATGCCATACCCTGACTCGGAGAGGCGTGGGTCACGCGATGAAGTGAACCCAGACGAGCCCCTTTCACTTGATTAAGCACGTGCCTGTTGGTTCAAGACGTGCTTGCCAGGGGCCTGGGCTGTGTGCCGACCATCATTTAGGCGCAATGAACCGGGTGCCAAGCATTCACCTGATTGCATGACACCCGGCGTAGACTTGCGGGCCCTGAGTGATCTCAAGTCAGACTTCCCAGCCAGTTCGCTTGAAGAGATCCCCATGACATAACAGCTTCCCGGTTGGGCCCCAAAATCCTGACGGCCTTCCTGTGCGTGAAGGGGCTTCAGCTGGCTTCCGAGGCGCGAGGCGCGTGCTGTTTGATGCCACTCGAAATGGGGTTTCGACCAGCATCTCTCAGAGAGAGCTGCTTTACTCCGTTTCTATGGCTTGGAATGAGCCTTGTGTTGGCTGCACAAAGACGGCACCATGAGGATTATCATGCTGCCTTGACTTGAGCAAGGCATGAAGCCGTTGCACTGAACCAGCTTGGCAAAGCCGCCCAGAACTTTGTGGCAAAGCTGGACACCTCCTGGCCTCATGATTTTGACCATCAAAGCCACCCCCGAAGTGGTGGGTTAAAGTAAACAGCCCCATTTTCTGACTTTGATGACCCCCATAAACCGTCAAAAATTATGACCCCAGACTTCTGCTGTAGTTGGCAGACACACTACTCCTGATCTGCGCCTGCGTTTTTGCGGCCTTTTCGCCTTGCAGCATCGGCAGCGCTACAGCTTCCCGGCTGTTGCGCTTTCAAAGCTGGCAAGCGTTGGGTTTCAAATCAATGTCTAGCGTTTGAGTAGTGCCTGGCCTCGCTCGCAAGAAGTTGCTTGGAATGGGATATGTCCAGGCTTGCGGGATCAGGTTAGGTTAGATGGCATCATGAGAAACATCGCGTTGCCTTAACGTGAGCGAAGCGCGGAGCTGTTGGACAACAAAAGCTTGGCTGTGGCCAGAACGACTTGGCAAGCTTCAGCTTTGGACTGCTGCTCCTGGAAGACGCAGTGCTGACCTGGGCATGAGCTCCGCTTTTGAGTTGGATGCAAGGCGCCTTGCAGCGCTGGCAGAGCCGCAATTTGTCCGGAGTCCCGAAGCCCTGAAGGCGGGAGCGCAGGTTGGGATGCAGCTGAAGGCATTTGCTTCAGACCCTGCATCAAGGCTCGCAACTAGGTCGCTCCTTGGGGCACGCTTCGCAACGCCCGGCCGGGCCGACCTGCGGCTTGAAATGAGAGGGTGCAGCTGTACGGATGGTAGTGATTTGGCATGACTTTGCCATCACGTGATGTGGAAGCCAGCCTACCTCCCGGAGCTTTATAAATTCCGGCTGCGTGAGTTTGAAGCTTTGTGATCCTGCCAGTCAAGAAGCGACCAAAACTGAGGCTCACCCCAGTGCTCGCGCTGAGAATCCCAGCTTGTTTTTTACTCCTGTGCTAAGGCTGCGTGAAGCGAGCTTGGTGTTGGCTGCCAGGGCAGGTAGCCTCAGATGTCACCACGAGGATTTGCACCTGAGCAAAGCATGGAGCCGCCGGGTCTGCCCGGAACTTTGTGGCAAGTTCAAGCTTGACACTTCCTTTGGTGCATGCTAGGACTTTTAACTTTTGGCCAACTAATTGGTTTGCCATTAAACCACTAAAAGTTTGACTTTTAGCAGGGGAGCAGAAAGCAACCGAGCTTCTGCTGCTGTAGTTGGCAGACACACTACTCCTGATCTGCGCCTGCGCTTTTGCTGCCTTTTCGCCTTGCAGCATCGGCAGCGCTACAACTTGCCAGCTCTTGCCCTTTCAAAGCTGGCAAGCGTTGGGTTTCAAATCAATGATGCAGTCTTGGTCTAGCGTTTGATTAGTGCCTGGCTTCGCTCGCAAGAATTGCTTGGAATGAGATATGTCCAGGCTTGCGGGATCAGGTTAGGTTAGATGGCATCATGAGAAACATCGCGTTGCCTTAACTTGAGCGAAGCGCGGAGCTGTCGGACAACAAAAGCTTGGCTGTGGCCAGAACGACTTGGCAAGCTTCAGCTTCAGACTGCTGCGGCTGGCAGGTCGCACCTTTGGCGTTTTTCCCCTTGCACCGGCAGCGCCGCATCTTGTGGGCCATAGAAACCTTCAGACCATTTTGAGCATCGCCTGCCCAATCGGCTTTTGGAGCTGGATTGACCTTGCAAGCTCTGCTACGCGAGCGGTGTTTACCTGATTCTAGGGGTAACTCCCCCATTTTTTCCAGGGATCCTTCTTTCTAGAACACCACCAAAAACCCTAGGACAAATGGCTGGTTTTTGAAAAGAACGATGGCTGAAAAGAATGGGGAATCAACCCCTAGAAGTCCATCCTTTCCTAGGCTGACCTTGCCGCGGGCAGTTGGCTTTAGGCCTCGGGGCGTGTTTCATGGGAAAGGCGTGCGTTTCAGCCAGCCCGCTTGGGAGTTGAGAAGAAGCAAGCGGCTCATGGGCTTGGTTGTGGTTAGGAGCATCGCCGCAAGACTTTGCAGACACCTCTCGCAATGCATCGCAGGCTGGGCGGTTGTCCAGGCATCGCTGGACCCAGTGCTCTTGCTTTCCCTCTCTGGGAATGTCCCACTTTCGACCCGGAAATGTGCTTCGCCGAAGCAAGCCGCGGCTGTGAGTGCCTTTCTTTCGCAGAGGTAAGGACTCCGGTGGCATAGCGCAGATTTCCCTGTCAACGTCGTAGTAAAAGTTGACCACACTAAACACGCGCTTGGGCAGCGCGGGCTGACTTGAGCAAATCACACAGCGCCTGGACCCAACCACGTCGGCTGTGCCCAGCACTTCATGGCAAGTTGGAGCACCAGATCACTGTGGTTGGCAGACACAGTGCAGCTGGGCGCAGTACGGCTGGCTTAGGCCTGTGCTCGCAGCTTCTGCATTTGCCTTGCGGCACCAGCGCCACGGCCATTTTTTCGGAGCATTTTGAGCATCACTAAGGTGAAGCTACTGGAACTGTGCTCAAGCCAGGGAAACCCCAAATGCAGCGCATTTGGCCCGGCTTGCGTGAGGCTCACGCCTAGTTCCCAGAGCTTGCAGGATCCGGCCCGGCCTTTTGATGCCCGTTGAAGCTCACTTCGACGCAGTCGTCTATCATTTGCTTCAGCCGGCTTCGCACAAAGGCTTGCAAGAGGTTGCTTGGAATGGGAGACGTTCAGGCTTGTAGGAGGAGTGTTAGATGGCGTGGTGGGGAGCGTTGTTTGCCGGGACTCGTTCGCAGAAGAAGATTGGTACATGCCATGTCCCTCGCCCAATCACTGACCCCCACACCGCTCAAGATCAGCGGTCTTACGCAGCGCAAGCTGCCGCACAGCAGTTCAACCCACTTAGGATGATTCGGTGCCCTCACAAGAGCGGGCCTAAGGTGTTGAGATTCGCTTCGCCGATGCAGTCATCGTTGTTTGGCCTCTGCCGTGGCTGGCTTCGTGCCAACGTGTCTGGCAAAAGGCTGCTTGGAAGGCGGTGTGTTCAAGCTGCGAGGAGGGCTAGATTACATCACAAGCCTCAGCTAGTTGGACACGTCGCATAGTTAGCGCACTGAGGGTGCATATTTCCTGCAGTAAGGCCACCTGTCTCCCTCGGCTTCTCACGCAGCATGGGTGTGAAGCGTTCTGGCCGGGGTTGTCCTGACATGTTTGCTAGGATTCGAATGCTGGCGGTGATGTCCTACTCTGCCTGCTTTCAGGACCGGCCATCCTTCCCGACGCCTCTCTGGGGACGCCTGTGGGCATGACAGATGCGAACAACCTCGCCTTCCGCCGAAAAGTGCAGAACAAAATGAGGAACAGACACGAAATAGCGGTTTGAAGACCAGCCGCTAAAAGTTTCGCAAAAAAGGTAGCCTTTGGACTCGGATATGAAGACTTGCTGGCGTCCCGGCTTGCAGAGAGTCGAGGTCAAATCCGTGTGCCGTCGAAAGACCTGACTTGGAGGGATGCAAAACATGGACCGTGATAAGGACGTTTAAGGGGATGCACAGAAGGAGCTTTGATCGTGACTCGCTTGCCCAGACTTTTGTCCATGACACACAGCTACAAGATCCCCATGACAGAGTGCTCCATGCAAAGCTTGTGGCCCAAAAGAAGAACTCTGATGCCCAGAAATACCGAAGCGTCGTGCTATGTCATGCTTGGCTGTGGCGATTCACTGTTCTAACTCATGGACTGTCATAAACATCAGTCTGGAAGTCGGGGATCCTCAGCCAATGGAGGTTTTCAAGTGGCGTTGCCCAAGCGCCCCACGCCCCATGACTGTGGTGGCTTAACTTAACGTTGCACTGTCTCCCCACTTTGCTTTCGCCAGGAGCGGGTGTTGCAAAGCCACCCTCCGCGCATTGATCCCCTTGTCCGCATGGCTTGCGTGCCGTTCACGGCTCGCTTGAGCCACTTTCCTCGCCAGCTAGCTTCTCAGAGGGGACTGGGGCGTTCCCAGTAAGTTGAGCGCCAAGGATTCTCCAGCATGGGGATGAGACCAACTCGGCTGACGAAAAGAGCAAACATCTCTTGCGTGCTTCCAGCCATCCCCTTAGCTTTATAGCTTTTCAGTGTTTAGTAGGGCTTTCGAGTTAGCCCACTAAAAGTTAAACTTTTAGCGGGGGATCTCAGGACAGCTCAGGTTTGTAAATCCGAAGGGAGCGGACGAGTCAGGCGAGTGAGCGTGGGTAGCGAGTGGGCGAGGGAATGAGCGGGGCGAGCGAGTGAAGTGCCTCTACTCGGTCTCAAAATTGTGATACTTACCCCAAAGCGGTTTGTTTCCTCTTTCTTCTCTCCCTAAAAAACAACGAAGGCCCCCCAAATCCCTTGGTTTCCTTCCGGGGTTTCCCGCAGAAAACCACAAAATCGTGCTCCCCCTTCGGGGAATCACACCTGCAGCGAGTCGCTCGCAGGGCTGGAGCGGCTTGTGGCGCCCAAGGCGAAACCGCGGGAGGACGGGCGGAACAGAGGGGGGGGTTGCTTTTGGGGGTTGTATCCAGGATGTTGGCCGGCCAGATTTGGTGGTTATGTGTTTAAAAAGTTGGTTGGCCCCCGAAATGCAGTGGCCGAGTTTGCGCGCCGAGTCTCACCCCTTGCCGGCTCCAGACTTTTCATTCAACCTGCCAAGAAGTTTGGGCCTCACTTTCCAGGTAATTTTGGACCCCTTTTCAGTGGCTCTTTGTCTGTGGGACCAGCAAATTCCAACTTAAGGGGACATCCAGCGACCCTGAAGTTATTCAGCACGAGTGAGAGTGCGAGTGTGAGCGAGGGATCCGAACGCCATTTGTTTTGAATGTAGCATGTTGTAGCACTTTGCTGTTATTTTATTATTTTGTTGATAGTAATCAGTTTCATAGCTTATTTGTCCCTCGCCATGCTCTCCTGCCGAACTTCGGCCTCCATCAGTTGCTTCCAGAGAATATGTGAGGAGACACTAGGAGCATGAGTGAGATAGAGAGGTTTTATTGTGAAGGCGCGGCTTGACTTGACCCACTGACTTCCAGGCTTCCGAACCGGGAAGTTTGGCCGAGAGGAATGGCCCTGGCTCTAAAAATGGCGGCGAGCAGGTCGATTCCGCACATGTCCGAGCCCAAGGCCTCCCCAAAATCCCCAAAGCCCCCAAAACCAACTTCTTTTCCAGAGGTAAATGGGGTGTATATCCTGAATCTATCATGAGCTCAGAACCCCACCCATCAACCACGTAAAATCCGAAATCCATAGCAGCCATAGCAGACATACCCCTGCGCATCCCCCGCAAACCCATATCACCCCAAGGTTCAAAAGCAGCGAAACAACGCCCGCAACCCACTCACCCCAAGACTTCCCAGATCCCCCGGATGCCAAAGGCATCCAAGACCACAACTTAAATGGGCGTGCCTCAAAATGGCGGACCCTGAAAATTGGCAGTTTTCCTTTCGCTTCCAAATGCGGCACCCTCCAAGCCCCCTTCACCCCAAAACCCACGGCTTCTCGTAGTCTAGCAGGCTCTCAACCATAAGAAAGTTGCCCCGGTTTTTGGCTTCCAACTGTTCAACCATCAGCAGGCGACCCCCCCCCCCGTAGGTTAGAGAGATACGGGTCCCAAACATGTGCAGTTTCCTTGTAGCTTTCTTTCAAAAGCGCAGAGGGGTATCCCTCGCTTCAAAGGAACCCATCCCAAACCTAACCTGCTGGACAGATTTGAGTGCCCCGAGTCCTTTTCGTGGGTGAAATGACCGGCTCATCTCTCTTTCCCCCCCCCCAAAATGGCTCCGGCATTCCATTTTTCAAACAAACCTGAAAAGGGGGTACCTGGACCCTCAACATTCCAACTTGAAAATTTGTCTTGTTGCCCCAACCTGATGCGTTGGCGAGTTCCCTTTTCGGGTACCTGGCGTCTCCTTCTGACCCGAATCAAAAATGGGTCCATGACCCCTTGATTTTGGGTAACGACCAACCAGGAGGCGTTTGAGCGTCCAGGCGCCAACGAAGCCGAGCGGGCGCCGTGGCCGGGGAGTTCGGTCGCTAGGACTTCAGCACCGTGGACACCAGCGCCAGCTTCCGACCCAAAGGCACGCACTGCTGAAGGGTGGGTGGGTGGGTGGGAGACGGAAAAGCCTCCGTGTCTTTTTTCGGTCATTGTCTTTTGGTTCCTTGAAAGCCTTTAGGGAAACCGCTCGTTGATAAACGCCCCAACCATGTTTTTTTGGTGCGCCAAGGGCTTCAAGCAATTATGAATCATGCATGCTATATTCTGTATGCATACACATATATATATATATATATGATTCTTGTATAAAACATACAATATGTGACTTGGGGGGCATGTTTCATGGTGGGACATGGTTGGTTTTTGGCTCTGCGACTGGCTTGTGGCCTCGTGGGATTCAAATCCAATCGGGGCAAGCATCCTCTGCCCAGAACCCTCACATGCTTTTGGGTTGGGTTGTTTGCTTGCCAGGTCTTTCCTCCAACTGGCTGTCAAGTGTGCTTCTGGTGAGGCTTTTTTTTTTTCCTCCGGACTTCCGACTCTTTTTTTACGGGATTGGTGGTTACTGCGAAGACTTTGGCAAGCTGCCGAACAGCTATTTGTTCTTGGGGTTCAGTCATACAGTGCACCCTTTGTTTGATATCGAACAGGTTACCCTGAGTGTGCTGTTGGTATTATGTGAGACCCTGCCTCCAAGCACTCCAAGATATACCAAGAGAAAACAAGTATCTCTGGGCTTGGCCAGTGGGGGGGGGGGTTGTCAGGTTACGCTTCGAGGCCCCATTTCTCACGGTTCCCAACCTGACTCTGGGAAACGGTCCAGGGATATGTGTTGGTTTTGTTCTCTTCTTGCGCTTGAGGGTGGACCATCAAACAAATCCCTATATCCCGGAAGCCAACCAGGAACCAGGGGTTTCTTTTGGCACAGACTTAGGTGCAGGTATCCACGTCTGGGAAGCTACGCAACACTCCTGCAGTTTAGCATTGGAGAACCTTCGTTTTTGGAGAAATCTTGAAATGGTGGAAGGCGAAACCAACAAAAACACTTCAAAACAGTCTTAGGGGCCCGAATCCTATACCCTCAGATCTCTTTCCTACCAGGTTTTGACTAAGACACCTGTGGGCCCAGGTGTCTTTGAATCAGAATCCTTCGCCAAGCCAGTGACTCAGCATGCGAAACGAGCGGATGTCAAGTGAGCAGGGTCCCACCCAAGTTACAAGAGTCCCAGGGAAATTTGGGTCTGCTCTTTTGTAGGGGACCATCAAACATGGGTGGTTGTCCTTTTGTTGGTCGGTATATACCCTCAAACTAAGATAGATTCTCTTTTGCAGACAACACTAGTTGTTTGGTGATTTCTCTCTCTCAGGGACACTTTTGGGTTGGATCGGTCTGTTAGACACCCCCCCTTGCCTGTTCCTTTGCGCCAACCTACCTTTGGTCATGACCCGTTGCGAATTCAAACACGGGTCGGACAAACAACACCCAACTTTCAGGCAACTGCTTGGTGGTTTGGATTTGGATTTGAACCTTTCGGACATCTGCCTGCGGGGTGTCTTTGGGAACCCACCGAAAACCGACCACCAAACCACCAATCCAAGCCGCCAATTGGGGGTAGGGTGACCATTTTCGGCCTTGTTTGGCCCCTTGGCCAACTGGCAAACGGTTTTTTTTCGGAACTAGAGCGATCTGAGAGCTGTGGGGCTGTGACCGCGGAGTGAGGCCGCAGGTCCAATCCGGGTTGGTTGGATTCGGGGGGGTGGGTTTATGGTTTACGGCGGGACGGTTGGAGTTCAAGCTGGGCTGTAAGGCGATGCTAGGCGTATCTCGCCCACTTTCAGCTTCTCGGTCAAAACCACTGGCCGCATAGAGGCCTTGGTTGAAAGCGGCACCTTGGGCACCGAGCGGGTCGCTCAAAGCTTGAGAGGCCCAAAAGGAAGCCGACGGATTGGTTTGGTCTGCTTAGGAATGGGGAAGCCGAAGGGAAGCCCCGGTTTGGATTTGGGGTATTCCTTGCAAGCCATGTGGGAGCCAACTCCCAAGGTTCCAAAATCGAAAGACAGCGAGCCAACCACCAACCAAACTCACTTCCTGAGTTCCTGGGCTTGATTTTTTTTTGGCAGACCACGTTTGTTGTTATAAAATCAGTTTTTATGCTGGTCTTGGCCCATCCTCTCAGTAGGTGAGCAAAATGGTACCAGCGGCAAAAAAAAGTGACATGCAAGTCTTAGATCAAAAAATTCCCGGCTGCCCGCTTTCGCCACTCGACTCTGCACGCTGAGTCCTTTGCGTGCCGGCCTCGGGCGTCGGGCACCGCTCGCTTTCCTGGCGGTCTTCTCTTTTTTTTTTTTGGGCGCCGCCGCAACCAGTGGGCGAAGGCCCCTTTTTCATGGGCTAGTTCTTTCGGGTCCAGGTCCACCTTTGGTTGTGGCTTCAAATTGGGAACCCCAACAGCTCGCCAAAAAGGAACGTGGCAATCTTAATGGTTGGGGCCCATATGGCCCCGGATGGTTTGAATGGCGCATTCTAAAAGCTTCGGCACAAGTCTCTGCGTTGTTTGATGTCCAAAGGGTCAATTGAAATCCATTCTGGAGCTTGTCTCAAAATGAAATTGGTGACCGCCCAAAGAAAACGGGGACTTTGTTTTCACAACCCGCGAAGGGTAATTCTCAGAAACAAATATGAAGATTTCAGAAGCGGCTTCTTTTCTAACCCGGAATTAACCGGAGTCCAGTTTCAGAGGCCAAGGAAGACCCGGAGACCCGCACACGACCAGAGACCTACCTGCGTACCCCCAGAGTCACATCTTGGGGCCCGAGTAGGCGATCTCCCGGACCCCCCTTCAAAACCCAGCATGTCCAGAGACTCTCCTTTTGGGAAACAGAACCCGCTTGGGTTCCATGTCGATTCTTTGGGAGTCGTTCCATTTTGCCCAGGGATGTTAGGACTTTAACTTTTTGCCAACGAATGGGTTTTCCGTTTCCGTATTAAACCACTAAAAGTTAGTCACTCTTAGCAGGGGAGCAGAAAGCAACCGAGGATTGTCGGGCCGTACCTCCCGGAAAAACCCGTTTTTTCGTTTTGGTTCCGCGCGGCACCGAGGTGGCCGGGACCCTCTGCCCCGCAGCGAGGCGATCCCGGGCGAAGGCTCGCGCAAGGGGACATGGGGAGGTGTGGAGGCTTGGGCGTGCTTTTTTACCCCCCCAAAATCTGGCTGGTTTCCACTTGGCCGTGTGTCAAAACCAATGGGATCCCATTTTGGGCTAGGTGCACCACCCATTTGGGGATTGGGATGTTCACGGAGGGTATGATTTGGATTTTGACCCATGGCCACTCCAAAAAGAGTACCAGTTTCTCCCTGGGTGCCCTTTCCCCTTAAGAAACATTTAAGAAACAGGGACATTCCTCCCCTCTTTATGTCCTCCCTTCCAGAAGCATTGCACATCCCTTCCACTCTTGGCATGTGGCACTAGTGGGAGGCAGCGGACTTGGCTTATGCCACGGGGTGTAAAAACTTGGACCGGCAGCATGTGCTCCAAGGTGATTGTGACATCCTCCAAATTACATGCTAAATGGTGGCTCAAAGGGCAAATGCTCTCCAAAAGTAGTTTTGAGAACCCACAAAATCCTTGCCAAAAGGCCAAGGCTTTTGAAGAGAACCACAAACAAAACCGGGGTATCAGGGGCGTGCCGCCGGTATGCCTTTTGCCAGGCCGCGGCGATGCGTGGGCCTGGCGGAGCTTGGCAGCCGAAGGGGAGCTTGCAGCTATTGGATTCCGCCCTTTCCCCTGTGCCTTCCCCCATGCCTCCATTTTGCTTAAGTTTTTTTTCCCCCTTGTTGGCTTTAAAAGGAATTCATCACTACTGGAAATGTGTTTACTTTTTCCTGGGGCCTTATATAACCAAATGGAAGCCTGTCTCTTTCTTTTCCTGTGTTTACATTTTTCTTGCTGTTGTGATGGGCAGGGAATGAGAGATGGAATGACCATCCCCGTTGGTGTCCCGTTCATTGCCATACTGTGGATGGTTGCGAAATCCAGAACTCGCACAACGAAACGAAACCATATTTGAAACGATCGTTGTTTGGTATGTACGTTGGGATATCGAATCATTCCAGGGTTTCCTTGGCGGGCGAAATGGATTTCGTCCATCCGCAGTATATGGTCTATTTTCTCCACTTGGTTTTAAAGGGACACTATCGTTCATCAGAAGAGTTCAAAAACTGTCCCGCCAGTTTTGCAATTGAACCTGCAGATCGCCGACCAAGGCGAGTCCTGGAATTTCTCGAATTTCTCGAATCTTGTCAACCTTCGACCTATCCACTTTTTCCCTTCCAATTGTTGATCAATCGACGACAAACCGAATGGCATCTCATAGGTTCTTCTTGCTGGCTCCGAGACCTCTGGTTTATGGCCATTGCCAGCTGGAGTCGAGGGGGTCTCATCCCAACCATTTTACTCTTCTGCATATGCTTTGTGTTTCTATGCCTTTCTATCCCTAGCCATGTTTGTGGCTCATCTACATACTGTGGATGCTTGCGAAATCCATTTCGATCCACCTTTCAGAAACCCAATGGAATGATTCAATACCCCAACGTATAAACGTTATGGTTTCATCTTCATGGATTCTGAACGGTGGCGCGAAATGGATTTGTTCATTCACGGTTCGCGGCTCGCTTCCAGCATCTTTCGCCAGGATGGTCACCGGGCGGCTGGCGCAGGTGCTCAAGCTCGTGGCACGCCTGGCCACTCGCCGGAAAAGAAGCGGCTCGGAGTTGGTCTTGCCGATCCGAATCAATGACACACACATTCCTTCGTGGAAATGGACCACGGCCCCGTGGACACACACACACACACACATGATAGGACATGGACCACGGCCCATTCTCACTATGCCAAAAAACACGCAAAATCAGCAGGGCTCCTTAAAAGATACATTTTGCCTATTTGAAACATGGCTTTTTCCACCAAAAGAAAGGGACACCACCATTTACAAGGCAATGTTCAGGTGTATAATGCAAGGATCCTTGATCAGTCTGAGCAACAAACATCCGGGGTCGATCATATTCCATGTAGGGCCCCCAGTTTGGACATTGGGTAACTTGTCCCATGGAGGTATCAGCGCTTTTGTGGTTTTTCCCAATGGTCATCCCATGTAAAAGGCCTTTTGATCAACCCCCATTTATAGGAAACCAAAAGGACACCAACCAATCTAGGAAATGGACCACTACTCTTTAGACACATCCAATACTGTGGATGGACGAGAGCCATTTCGCACCACCAAGCAAACCACGGAATGATGATTCCCACGTAAATACCAACAAGCAATGATTTCCCATTTTCAAAGTGGTGCAGGATGTCGTCCATCCAAAGTGGCTGGACATGAATCACCACCGAAATTTGATGTCCACCAAAGCGTCTTTAATTAGTATATCAATATTGGTATGCCTGAAATAGTAGTGACCCCGAAAGTGAACAGAAAACTACGCTGGGGGGTGTGTGCCCTATCTGGAGACACCACCAGATCATCTTGCAACATCGTGGCTCATGAAGAATCGTCCCGGGACGTCGGAGTTTGGTATTAAAGTGTGGTTTTCCCACGCAACATCGCATTTTTGGTAGCTCCTGCTTAGGGCACCCAGCTAGCCCCATGCAACATGCATCAGACAAAGGTTTTCCAACCAAACCTTTTCTTGTGGGGTGGACTGAATATGGAACAGAGCCAGGCAATAAAGCAACCATCTCATTTTCCGTGTGCCTGGACCGTCTAACTACCCAGAAAAAAGGGACCTTACCCCCTACTTTTGGGTTGCAAGAACCCATTCTCTCAAGCTGAAAATTTGCGAAAGGTTTCTTTTGTTTTTAACGCTTTGCGTTGGGAAGCCCGCCTTTTTTGTGGCTTTTAACTCACTTTGAGTTGGATGAGTTGGGACAAAGCAGCAGGTTTCCGCGGAATTTCGCGATCTTCCGCGCCAGCCCAGGACCCTGGGGGTGAGCTGCAGAAGCTCAGCGGCGAGGCGCATCCGGTCAAAAGCGTTCAACGGGATCACGCATTTTGGTTGGGATTGGCGAGTTCTATCCAACCCATTTTAGGCTTCCGATTTTAGTGGCTTTGGATTGGGATGTTTCCACTGGGGGTACGGAATTTTTCGGATTTTGACCCATGGCCAGGTGTCTCAGTGGATCGTCGCGGCCAACTTTTTCCTTTTGGTTTTCTAGCAGGTTCCCTTGGCTGCCTAAACAAGTAGATGGATCCACTGGGTGTGTCTCACAAATAGGAATCACCCAAACTGCCCCAAAGTGATCTCTCTACTTCACACTCTGCTTCCAGGGGCCTGTCCTTTTTACCTCTGGCGCCAGCATAGCGCGTCTTGGCCTGTCCTCTTCACTCAGCCCACTGAAGGGAGCAGGGTCGTAGAAAGCTACAGGAGTTTGTACAGGAAACAATCCCAGCACCTGGTTTTTTTTGTGGGTGTTCGGTGAGTTTCTCGCAGATGTTCCTGTCGTTGCCCAAAGCGTTTCTGTTTCCCCTTGGTGGCCCCAAAAGGCGATCACCTTCTATGCCTGGGTCCCTTCCGAACCAACCGGCTGAGTGTCGGACCCTCCAAAGCTTCCGACTCAAAAAATGGTTTCTTGGGACCCAAGAGGCGCTCATCTCGAACTTCTGTTCGAGCACACCAGCAAGACAACTCCAACTCTCAGCACCTCTCACCAAGAAGGTGAACAACTGAGCGTCATTTTTTTTTCGTGTGTTTTTGGTTGCCAGGTGCTGGCGGAGCGCAGGGACTTGGAGCAGCAGCCGCTCGTTCGAGAAACGGGGGGCTTGCGAAAGGGGTTCGAATAGAACCGGTTTGGCGCCAAGAGGTGGTGGAAGAACGTGGATCTGGGTGTTTTCGGAGTTGGTGTTGTCTTTCTTGTTTTCGTTTGCTTTTGGTTTCCCTTTCCTCCCATAAAGCATACTGTGAATGGGCGAAATCCCATGTCGCACCACCTTTCAGAAACCCTGGAATGATTCGATTCTGCAAGTGCCAACAATCGACGGTTTCAGCCATGGTGTCCTAGGTGGCGCGAAATGGGATTTTGTCCATCCGCAGTGGCAGTAAAGACTCACAGCCCCTTTTTGGGCCCGCAAGGTGCAATGGCGAAGGCCGTTCGTTTGGGAGTCTGGGCTAGCCTGGGCTTTTGATCTGGTGTGAAGCGCATCAGCTTTTAAACAGTTTCCTTTTGGCGTTAAGCATCACCTTTCTGGAACAACTATATGAGGAAATCCTTTTCGGTGACTGTTCACTTGGCACTGATCAATGCCTGCAGGACTCCGTGGATCAAACATCACACAGCCAGGGGTGGGGTGGTGCTAGGGGAAAGAACTCGGGAGCCCTGTAAGATGGCTCTCACTACCCCCAAACCACCTAAACCCGTTTTTTTTGACAATGGGTGATTTCCTATTTCCCTTGCTGAATAAGGCTGGCTGGCGGAATTTCCCCACCTTTTTGACAGGTAGTTCTCTCTTGGGTCCCGGTTGTCTCTCTGACCCCAAAATCCCGGGACCCCCCCCCTCAAAAAAAAAAACAAACAAACAAACCTAGGGACCCTCAAAATCCCAAAAACAGAACCTCAAAGCTAGGGACGCCCCAAAATTCCAAACCCCCAAAGCTAGGGACCCCAAAGCCGAGGCTCCAGCGGCGCCGCACCCTGGAGGAGCAGCTCCGGGAAGCCCGGGGCCGCCTGGACGAGGCAACCCCCTGAGCGCTCGAAGCGGCGAAGCTGCCGCGCGCGCAAACGAGACGGGTTTTTGGGGAGTTCCCAGAAGAGGGGGTCCTCGTGGTTTTTTCTTTTTCGGGGGTCGTTTTTTTCCCCCCCCCTTTTCGGGGGTCGTTGTTTTTTTGATTGCTTGGGTGGTTGAACCAGCCAGCCATGGGTCGACTGAGGGTTTTACGGCTTTCTTTGGAGCCGTCCGGGTCGAGTTAGGTGTTCTTTTGGTGGTTTGTTGTTGGCTTTGCAGCAGTTTCCAGTACACCCGGTAAAAGTTTTTGACTTTTAGCATGGGATCTCGGAGCAGCCCAGTGTGCCTAAAAACCACCAAACATACACATAACTTGAATTGGATGGCTCAAAAAAAATACCTAAGTTGAACCGGACGGCTGGTTGCACCACCCACAAATTCCCTCAAAAGTCACCATAGAATCGGCAACCCGGAACTCCCAACATCTGGATTGCCTCTTAAAGTTCTCGTTTTTGCAGCCTTACTAGTAGTTGTTTGGATAGGTTTGAGTTAGCTCCGCCAGCCATATGGGGAAGGTATAACCTGCAAAATCCGATGCATCAATTGAGTGAGAGGATCCCCCCCCCCCCCGAAAAAAGAAAGAGCAACAACAAGAAGCTTGGTGTCCTTTTGGCTTTCCCGTGAGACCCACCAAGCAACCCGCCCGGTTTTTCCCAAACGCGCCCCAAACCACCCGCCCTCGAGCCCTCGAGTCGGAGGCGCGGGAGCAGCAGCGCGCGGCGGAGGTGGAGGCGGCGGCCAGCCGGCGCCGCTGCGCGCAGATGCAGGACGAGCCATAGCCTAAACACAGGATGGGGTATTTGCGATCATAGGGGGTGGGTCTAAATGGTCAAGCTGCATCTAAATGGTAGTTGGTAGTTTAAGGGGTAAACATACGAAGATGGTGAACAAAGATGGTATACCCCTAAGCAACTTTAGGGGGGGGTTCTAAATGATCAAGCCACATTGCAACTGGCAGTGGGTCAAACATATGTACCCAAAATGGGAAGCCTGGTAAATGGAAACATGGATGGTGGTTTAACTTTGACACACAGCTATAGGGGGTGGTAAATGGTCAAGCTACCTCCCCATTGTCTCCAGCTTGGCTCGTTTGCTGACGAGAGGGATGCCGGAACAGAACGGGGAGGGCGGAGATGCTTCGGTCGCTTCGAATCCGTGGGTCGGCCATCAGGCTCTGGGCATGGGGCGTGAATTTGATCGGCGAGCTCGGTGAAAACATAGGATGGGTTTCGCTGGCTTAGACGGGTTTTATGCCCCATTCACCAGGGCCCTGTGTTTTTCCAGAAGGCCACCTAAGACTCTGTGGTTGGGAGAACTGGAAGATTTGGAGGGTTCTCCGAAGGGTTTTTAGGGGGTTGCTGTTGGCCATATCTTGTGTTTTTCTTTCCTTTTTTTTGAGGGGGGGATGAGAACCCAGGATTTATAACCATGTCAGTAGAACCCAAAGTGCATGACATGTTGGACAGTCTTCCGTTGGAATCGGCCTTTGGTGGACATCAGGGAAAGAACAGGTTTTGTGTCCACCGACCATGTCTGGAGGTGCCCCTCTTCAAATTCATAGCCAAGTATGTTTCGAATCCTTTGTGGCCATGGATGGCTTCGACAGAGCAAAAACAAGGAAACCACTTGGGAGGGTTCGTATGTCTCCCAAGCCTTCAGATGGGGCCTAGGAAACACAATATTGAACGCTTTTTAAAGTACATAGACATACATGGGCGATGGTTATTTTTGATGGTGGCCTTTTGTCGGTGCCTGAAACGCCAACAAGGAAAGCCATGAGTTCATGTTAATGCAACTCCAACGGGACGGAGGTCGCCTTGTTTCCGGAAATTCGGCATCAGGGTGCCGCCGTATTCGTGACCCCCCCCCCCCCGTTTGGGCTGGATGTTAATCTGCAGGAAAGCATACAACATGTGGGTGTGTCTTAAAGTAGGGAACCTAAACAAATGTGGTTTCCCTTTGGTTTCGTTTTAAAGCAACCCAAAAAGTTTCTATCCTCAAAAACCCACACCTTTTTTGTTGTTCCCCTCAAAACTTGTGGAATGCGCCTCAAAGGGGATCAGTTCAAATCGGCGAGAGTATCAAACGCCTTGGGCCGAGAACCATAGCCGCAAATGAACAGTAACAAGTACTCCCGGCAGACTTGGTTTGAACTAGATCCCAAATCAGAGTCTCCTTCTGGGAATATCCCCACGGACAGTACAAATAAGGGATTCTCCTCCATTGTTTGGTGACCAGGCAGCTTCTCATCGTTCAAACGCCGGTTGAAACCTCTTCAGGCCTTGGAAGATTTGTTATTGGTGTTACAGGGCCTTGGTTGCCTCTCGTGGGCAATGGACTAACCGGGTGCGGCTAATCTGTGCCAGGACGAGTTGGTGTTCGTCACCCGGGAGGTGAAGGGAGTGGAGGAGGCCCGAGTCGTGGGGACGGGGAGCGACGCGCGACGCCGGCCTGGGGCCATCTTCAGTCTTAAGGTTCCAAAGAAGGAGCTCACGGTGTGGATCCTTTGCTTGATACCTCACTTCAGGTTTTGGAATTCTTGCAGCAGTTGCAGATTCATGCGGAAAAGGGGGTGCAACTCGATTCGCACAAAAAACGATCCGGAGGCTTTGGAGTGGGACATCCCTTTTTAATATCCTGGGCTCCCATTTAGGTGCGTTAGGGCGGCACAAAAATCGAAGGCACCTGGAGGGTTCCTTGGAAGCCTTTCCTCTTGAAGAGACCAGACTCTCAGGCGCCGTGGGAGGGAAGGTGCTAGCCCCTTTGCAGGCACGAAGGCAGCCATGTCACCGGACCGGACGAGGCTTCCCATGTGCCACAACTAGTTTGGAGCCCAAACTCAGCTCCCAAGAAGGTGGTCGAATATATATATATATATATGTATATATATATATATATTTTATATAAGTGAGTTGGACTCTGGTGTCATGGTGGGTGGGGTGAAACCCGTGGTGGGTGAGCCCGTAGCCCAAGGCTTGCTGGCTCGGCCGGACATGTGGCCCCACGGAAGCCAACCGGCTGCTTCCATGTGCTGAGATCAACATGTTTTGCACTTTCCCCCCAGCCGGTGTTCAAGTTGGAACCTGTCACTGGACGTATCTTAGCTTTTCCTTCGCAAGTGGTCGTTGTAACAACGCAAGTGGACCACGGAGGCATGGAGGCACGGCTGAACAGGCATGGTCTTTGTCCTTTTTCCGATCAGGACATGGTCT